GGATTGAACCGTGGTCCCTGTGTTTTGCTTAGCTTAGCTTGTTCTGTCAAGTAGGTGCTTTAGACCACTGAGCCATCTCACCAGCCCCAACAAGTATTTACTGAGTCCTGTTTGGATTCAGATCTCTGGCAGCAGCTTGGAATTAAGGAAGACAGTTCTTGCTTTTAAAATCAATCCGCAAACATTAAGAAACCAAGATATCAAAGGAGGATTTATAAGAACTCCTAGGTCCTACTTAGTACTCCTTTCTGGACAGCATACATATATAAGGCAATGAAACATATTGTATACTGTGAAAATGAAAACTATAAGAAACACTACAAAAAATCATCTTAGTCTACTAGGGATTCAAAATGTTTCTAAGTTTCCCAGCACCACCCCTTCCACGGTAATACGGATGGAACCCCAAAGCGCTGGGATATGTAAAATTTTAGAAGTGATCAGTAAGCACACATATTTTCTAAGACATTTTACGTGGTCACTAACATAATTAGATAAGCATACTTGATGTCTGGTGTTGAAAACAATATAGATGGAAGTCAAGTTGGGAAGGTGGCATGGTTCACACGCTGCCTTACCAGCTTCAGCAGCAGAGATGAGGTATTCTGTGGCCTCTAACCGTTCACCTCTCCCTTCAGTCTTGTACGACTTAATGGCATTGTAACTAGAAGAATGAAACACCAACAATTTAAGTGTAAAGAAAGGCCATTTTCAAGTGTGCACAGGCAGTGACACTATCTGCAAGGTAAAAGTGGATGTGTAACCGAGCAAAACACGGGATCTCATTGCAGAGGTTTACTATACGACAACATCACCTTGCCTGGTGTGCCCGAGTACAACACACGCAGCGGTCACCTCAGAAAACAGGAGCCTAGGAGAAGGTGAGGGCATGGGCGTGCAGGCTGGGGAGAAAGCATAGAGCCAGGGGACAGGTCCCCGACAGACACGTGCCATGCCGCTGTACTCAGGAAGCTCCCTGCCTTTCCCACAGTGGAAAGGTTCCCGTGCTGCAGAGCCTTCCTCACAAGGGCAACTGCGGGCACATACGCAGCCGTAAGATAACACACTGTGCCAAGAGATTCCCAAGCAGGGTGCGGAGACTCACCAAGGAAGAGATGAGCATAGAGACAGTACCAGCAGCACAAGGACACCTAACTCGTGATCCTCCTGCCTCAGTCTCATCGGGGTGCACCGCTGTGCCGGGACAACCTGAGACTCCTAATCTTGTCAAGTGTTAGCAATCCGTTAAGAAACCTTTGTTCTAAGAGCTTCTCACCACACAAGTCTCCTGTTCCCATGGCCCAGCCTAAGAAACTTGGACCCTCCAGACTCGGAGCACTATCCAACGTGGGAGTGGCAGACAGGCCTGTGTAAACACCCCTACGTGTCTGAGAGGAGAAAATAAGAAAAATACTTCAACAGTGCTAAGGCTGAATTTTGTTTTGCCTTCACCTAAAAAATATTTTGAGGCTGGCTTAGCCACTGCCATAAACTTTTGACAGATCTGTCACTACACACCCTGCACTAAGGGGCAATGCTGTCTGATAGGCAAAGAGGCATGGGGCAGGTGGCATAGCAGGTACTATGCAGTAAGCCTGAGAATCTACTGGTGACAGAACTCCATGTGGTGCCCATGAGAACCCCAGGCCCATCCCCTCCTGTGCCTCCCACCTCCCTGTGCCCGCACTCTGGGTACCCTGGTGAGGAGAAACGAGCCCCTCCCTCATGTACTGTCCTTTTGATTAGGAAACGGTCTGTTTGGGGCACTCTAGAGTTCTTCTCTTATTATATGGAAAAAAAAAAAAAGGATACCAAAGAGAAGTGAAATCCATAGGATTTAGTTTCAGGTTTTTCTAGTTGCTGCAGCACCTGAGAAAACTACTGCCAGTAACTGGCCCATTTGATGTTTTCCAGTCTATTCCAGCTGTCAGAAATGCTGAAGAGAAATGAAAGGCCCAGGCACCTCAGTAATCCTGCAGAGGCCCACAATTTTACTGAAAATTAGTTAGACTTAACGTTTTCCAAACAATTTTAACTAACAGTTCTCCTGTACTCAGAGAAACTGAGAACACGACTCAACTTTCTGCTCCCTCCCAAGGTACGTTCACTTTTATTTAATGGTGAAATTTCCCAGTCTACTCACAAGAGAAAGTAGAGTCCCCAGGACAGCCCTGCGCCCCACACATTTGGGGTGACTCCTTGGTAAAGTCCCCGCAGTCCATCGAGTTTCCAAATGGTAGCCAAGCAGTGCAGAATCCCTTTATATTTCGGTCTCAGTTCCAATCCGTCGCTCACTGTGTTAAAAGACAAGACTAGTTGGGTGAGAGCAAAATTGCAGCTCAGAATCATGAGCACACACAGATGCCACCTAATCTGGTATATAAACACTTAAATAATATTTATTTATTTATTTGGTGGTACCAGGAATTGAACTCAGGATGTTGTACTTGCTAGGCAAGCACTTATTCCACTGAGCTATCTCCCCAGCCTAAATAGTATCTTAGCAAGCATTAGACTAGCTCTTAAGTAGCCCAAGTCTCTTAGGCAAACAGATGTCACATTTAAATTTTATTTGTGTTATTTTTAAGATTAAGGATTCAAGTTTCAAAATATATTAAAAAAATTTTAGCTAGGAGCCCCAAATTACATCAGAACCTTAAGGCCTAAAAAGTGACCAGAGAGAAAGTGAGGGACCTGGGGTGAACGCTGCTCCTTTCTAAGCCCCGACTGGTGCACATGCTCAGGCACACGGGGGGGGGACGGGGACGGACGGGGACAGACAAACGCTCCACATCAGATTAGAGAACGGCATATACTCTGCATGGATGTATCTCAACTTGACCAAGTTTCCCATCCCTCCGAAGCTGCTCTCATTCTGCTGGCGGTGTGCTCCCAGGATGTCACCCCTACCTCGGCAGACGCTCACGCAGACCCTGGGTCACCCGTGAGCCCTCCTCTCCCTACCCCACTTAACCTGTCCTTTTGATTCTACGTGTCCGATCCTCTGGCCTCTTAACACTGCCTTCTTCCTGCTGCCACCCCACCAGCTTTCCAGCAGCAGTCTCCTTGACGCTTCTATAGAAAATATACTCTAGATCATGAACTTGGCAGTCTTCTTCATCGCCTGCTTCTTAGGAGAGAGGAGAATCCAGGGCGGAGGGGCAGTTACAAGGGCTGTTTACAAAGCTGTGAGCGCAGCTGGGAATAGAGCTCAGTGGCACAGGCGCTTACCTGTCTGGAGCAAGGTCCTGAATTTGATTTCGAGTACAAAAAAAAAATTAATAAATAAAAATAAAGCTGTGAGAGTGTTGTGGGAAAACCACAAGGAACAATGCAGTATCAATGACATCTTTATTGTTTTGAGAAGTTTTTTAATCCTAGGTGTATCGAGTATTTCAGCAGCATGTATTCTATGTTATGTTATAAATTTAAAATTAGAACATGTTATGTATAGTTTTGTACACTGTATTTCCCTCACAGTATTTCTTTCTTTTTCTTTTCTTTCTATGTATTTGGTATAGAGTCTCACCAAACAGCTCAGACTTGTAGTGATCCTCTCTCTTGTTTACCGCCTCCTCAGTGCTGGGATTGCGGGGGTGTGTGCGGTACGTGGTGCCGGGGATCAAACCCCAGTCCTCGTGCTTGTCTAAGCAGGTACTTAGTCTGCTGAGCTATCCTGCTGGCCCACTCAGGAGCACTTCTAAACACTCCTCCTTGGGAGAAAATAATTTCCAAAAACAAGACTTTGAAAAATGGTTTTGTGCTTTTAACCTCAGGTAATCTGTCATATATATAATAATAATTTCTCTATTTGGTACTTGTGGGGATTCTTTTTTTTTTTTTTTTTGCTCTAAAACATTATTTAAAAGTATCTTACAATAATTTGTGGAAATTGTATTCTCTTAGAATTAGTTGTGAGGAGGGAGCTGAAATGGGTCAAAACTGACTAACTTAGTCATAAATACACCCTGGAATTGCCCTCCAGGACAGTTACACAAACTGCTGTCCATGGCCACACGCAGCTCAACTCCTGGCCTGCTGGCCTCCTCCTCAGTGGACGTAACAGAGCCTGGCAAAGCAATGTTGACTACTCTTCACTGCCAGGCAGAGGGGAGTTACGCTCCTTTCATCATTAACCTGCCACATGTCACAGCGTGAAAGGAGATTAAAGTACACCTGGCTTTTGCCTAAAATAATCAAATACATGCTTTAGGTGTCCCACAGTAGAAAGCACTTGAACATGAAAAACCCATCTGGGGTAGGGGTGGGGATGAAGTATTGAAACAAAGAGGATCCCAGTAGGGCTTTCTTCATGTCCAGTTAAAATTGCTATGAAGATAAAATATAGTGATTTTTAAAGTCAAAAAAACTTTGTAGGGCCGGAAAGATGGCTCCGTAGAATAAGCACTTCCCTGGCAAGACCAAGGGTCGGAGTTCAATCCCCGGTTCAGCAAAGAAAAAAAAAAAAAAAAAAAAAAGAAATTTAGTAATTGTCTTAAAAATATCTGCCCATGAAAAGTCAGTCCATACACCTACATACCTTTCCCATCACTGTGGAAATGGCCCGTGACAGCCCAAGATGCCAAAAGACAAAAGAGAAAAAAGTTTTGTGTGGGAAGAAGCCATTCTGAAGAAAAGACAACACAATGGCTTTTAAAAAAGACTGCACTAGTACCCTAACACCCTGCTTGAGGCCCTGGATAGAGTTTTACATCTTCTCCTCCAACACAAATGAAGAACTTGTCTCCTTTCCGTCATAAAACAATTCCCTCACCTGTGCTCTGTAATGACATTTCAAAAACCATAGATGGGTAATAAAATCAACTGAGCAAACAGATTGATAGCATTATTTCTTAATTTTAAAAAAGATGTAACAGAAAACAAACATAAACAACATCACAAATGCTATGACAAGTAGTGTGCCATGAAGCTGTCTTCGAGTTCCACGTGTATATGACCAAATAGCAAAGGTCTGACCTGCGGCCTCCTGAGGGCTCCAGTCAGCGCACTTGGCGACGCCGCAGCTCCCTTCCTTTCTCTGCATTCTGCTGTGAACCCGCCCCATCTTCCTGCCTGTGCCCCTCTTCAATTCTCCACTTCCAGCTCTCTCCAAGCTCACTCCCACAGGGGCAGACCCTGGCCAGGCCTCTCTTTCCCTCTGTGATCCCAGTGCCTGCTATCACTAACATTTCCTCAAATGAGAAACTGACAATCCAGGTTTCTCACCTGCACTGCAGTCTGGCCTGTGCCTCACCATCCTCAAGTGTGCTGGTTAAGGACCCTCCAAGGGCACTCTGGGAGTCGTCAGAGTGACAGCTGACACTGTTTATCTTCTGAAGTGCCCTTCTCTTGGCTTGTTTCACAAATCCTTTTTTCCTCTTTGCCACTCAATTTCCCTGGCCTCTTTTTCCCAAGCATCCTTAAATGTTATTTTTACAGGTGCTCTTTCTGCCCAACATGGGTGGCCTCTCAGCCACTAAGGAGTCTCACTGCCTGCCTGCGTGCACATTTCTCCACTTCTTGTCCTGATCTTGTTCTTTTTTTTTTTTTAATTTTTTTTCCCCTGGAACCGGGGGTTGAACTCAGGCCCTTGAGCTTGCCAGGGAAGTGCTTATTCCACTGTAGCATTCAGTCCCGGGGACTGCTTTTATATGGCCTAAGAGAGATCTCAAAAATCTGGCAGGTTCTTCAACAATGACCTCTTCTACACAGCTGCTGAAGACAGGCGTCAAGGCACACGGCCACATCCATAGCCAAGACCAAAATCCTTTTATCTGTGTTCAGCCACTCCATTCTTCAAATTAGTACAAGTAGTATGGTGAATGATTAAATGCTACAGTCTAAAGTTAGACTGCCCAGGGGCTTCCGGCAAGATGGCAAAGGGATAAGCAGCAGAGCAAGAGCCTGAGACTTGCCATCCAGACACTGGAACATAGCAACATGAGAAAAAGGAAGCGGGAAATGGGTCCCCTGGACCAAGGAAGGATTTGAAGCGACACCTGAAGCCTATGGGGAAAGCAAAGAGAGAAACTTCAACAAACAGGGAGGCAGCCATCGGAGTCTTTTCCCTGAGTGGGGACTCACTGGGAGGAGTGGTTCAAACCCGGGCACACTTGGGGACTGCTGCAACACTAGGGGCCTCCTCAGAGAGACGCAGCAGTGAAGGGGAGCAGGGGCTAATGGTGAGTGCTGTATGACTGAGTGCGGACATCCCATGCACGGCAGAGGGGGACTGGCCAGGAGCCGTCTTGGAGAGGGGCCAATTAAGCTCAGAACTCTGAACTGCTGGGTCCATCTAGCAGCTCCCAGCTCAGCGGAATTTGCTGATGGATGCAGGTTGCATGAGTCTGGCCCCAGCCTGGTGGCCAGAAACCAGCCTGAATTTCAGGGGAAACAGCAGTGCTAAGATTGTCTGCTACTCTGCCATAAAGCTACTGCTGGCTTACTGGGACAAATCAAGACCTGGACTGTCTCCAGATGTTGCTTACCAGTGAGAGCAGAGTCAAACCTGGATGTGGACTTTTTTTATTGTTTGATTTTGTTTTTATGAGTGTGAACATGACTTCTAGTTCCTTTATGGTTGTTGTTCTGCTCTTTTTAATTTTTTCCTTCTCTTTCCCTCCTGTCTTCTGCACCAGTTTCCCAAAGTTCACAAGGCCCACCTTAATCCTCAAGCCTTCCTCCTCCTTGTCCTCCTTTTTTTTTTTAAATCTTTTTGAGACAGGGTCTCCTTATGCAGTTCAGGCTGGCCTTAAACTCACTTTGTAGCCCAGGCTGGTCTCAAACTTGCAACAATATCCCTGTGTCAGCTTCCTGCGCTGGGATTATTGGTGTATGCTACCATGCACAGCTTCCATCCAGCCTTGCTTCTAATCTCTTTTCTTCTATTTCTCTGTTTTTTCCTCTCACCCCTTTTAAATATTCTCCCCTGAGGGGTAAAATCGGCTTATTCAGGGGTTATTTACTGCATATGATTTTCTGGTTTGTTTTATTTATTTTTTTTAAATATTTATTTATTTTTATTTTTTTATTTATTACATTTATTTATTGTGTGTGTGTGTGTGTGTGTGTGTGTGTGGCCAGCTCAGCCCACCAGGGGGCGGGGCTGGCTGGCATGTGGTGC